AACTTTTTTGCATTTAGATTGACCGAGTCGATCGTATGAAATTTGATTCGTATCAGACATAAATAATAATATTATAATCGTATAATAATATATTATAGACAACAGATAATAATTATTGACAGTAATAATGTCGTGGGAACTATTGTTCAGAACTACAGTTTGTTTTTGAAAAACACATATTTATAAAATATCGTTAATCGTAATCAGATATTTTTATGGTCGTGATAATTTTTTTGAACGACATTAATTGTCTTATTAATATTAAATATTGAGCAACGACGATAATGGTAGTTGTAGTGGCCCAAAACGTCTGGCCGATCTTATAAATATAAAAATTTGATAATCGACTGGGAACAATAACGTTGTTGTTTTTTATAATTATTGTACGCTCACCGCCGACGTAACTTGCACGAATGTTATTTGTTTTTTTAAATCCTAAGTTCATACTTAACACTAATTAATAAAGATCACTTTTCCGTTTTCCGTGCACTTTTTTCCCGTTTGTTTAACAAGGTGTATATTATTATTATTACAATAATTTATAAATGCTTCATCAGTGATGTAATAATATTATAAACATTTGGCCATGATGCAAATAACCATAAGGGCCCTTTGTCTATAAAAATAATATCCACATGGCCCCATTTACGCCACTGTACATATTTTATTTACATATATTTTTCAACACCAGTTAAATCGCGTATTTTTTTTTTGTAATGTGTAAGATAAAATCTGACATCCTAATAACCCTACGTCAATTGGGGTAGATCTTTAGCGGTGTATCATAATAAACGTCCCTACTGTAGTTGTGTCTCTGAATATAAAGAAATATTACGAAATCAATAACAAAAGCTTAAAAATATATTTAAATCATATTTAATATTATGTAATAATTAGGGTACAAAAAAAAACCAGAAGTCACTTTTTTTCCTAAATGGCGATTTCGGTAGGTATCAAATTATTAATTGTATTGACGTAATCTATCATTTAATCGGTTGAACCAGGGTATAAATCAGATTCGTCTAGAGTTATAACCTCCTAAAGTTTAGGCATACAAGGAATACAGCCATAGTTTAAAATTAAAAACACGTATTTCTCGGAATGAAAAAATAAATTACTTTTCTTGTTTTTTCTCTGTACCCTTCGTACACTGTATGTTTATTTTACACCATAATATATGGACAATGGACATACTGTCGCAATGGTAAATAATTAGCCATAAAATATTAAAATACCGTAATGAATGCATTGTTAGCCACAGTGGCGTATTTTAGGGGGGCAATGGGGAATATGCCCCTCCCCCTGAAGACCAAGACTTGTTTTTTCTTACTGTTTTGTGGAAGCTGTAATTATAAGGTAAATTCCACTATTATGAGTAATATAACTGTATACGACGTACTCGCCTATCTAGACACGCGGTAGAGTGTCAAGCCAAGTTCTAGCTAACAGAACTGGCGAGCAGCACCGTGTGTAATATTACACGAACCATTTGTAGCCACTTTTGACCCCCTCATAACTCAAAAACTATTCCACATAAACATGTAAAATTTGGCTCATATATTGAGACTAACGAGATACATATGTGCTCTAAATTTCATAAACACACTTCAAACCATTATTTAGATATTAACGTCCGAAAATCGTCATTTTTATCACTGACTTACCTATAGATCAAAATTCTAACCCAGTTCCAGATGACCTAGAAAGTTCAAAGGAAAAAATCAGAAACTTGAAAAATTTTTAATTTTTAATTTTTTATTTTTTAATCAATTGATTTTATTATAATTTTGCAATTATTTTATCTATTATGTTTAATTTTTCAATTTATTAATGAATTGCTTCTAATTTAATGTAATGCAATGTTGACTTAAATTAGCTTTACCGTATCGCCGCTCCAAAAATACGACTAGCCGAATATGTGTCGATATTGTCGACCCGCGAAGAGCAACATACTTTTTTTTCTATCTATGTATGTAATTAATATAATTTTTTTTAAATATTACAATTAAAATAATTAAATAATTATTCTTACAAATTATGAATTATCCACCCAACAGTAGAAACTACAGTCAATAAAATTATGATAATTAAAAATATACTCAAAAAGAGTTAAAATAATTGTATATAAATTTTACATATATTTTATACTCTGTATATACAACGGAAAATATTTTATAATAAATATTATTATTAATATTAGTAACTGAATTATATTATATAGTAATAAACTTTATTTATAGAATACGTCATGGCTAGGTTAGGTTAGGTTATAATAATTTACATACAAAAAGTAATGATATCCCACCAAAAACATATATGTAAAATGAGAGCCAAGTTCAATACTATAATATATGCCTTGGTTGTTGACTTCAACGACAAAAGAAGTGAGATCTAAATGGGTGCCAAGTTAGGATAATATATTGAAGCCTAAGGTCTGACTTGGCTACGAATTATATATTATAGCATTTGCAAGTTCTAAAGCTTTGAGTTCTTATTTTATTCTTCGGAAAATCATCTTCACTCTTCCATTACTGTTTTAGTAGGTACTTATAATAATAATTCGTATATGAAAAGTAGCCAAGTCAGACCTTAGGCTTCAATATATTATCCTAACTTGGCACCCATTTAGATCTCACTTCTTTTGTCGTTGAAGTCAACAACCAAGGCATATATTATAGTATTGAACTTGGCTCTCATTTTACATATATGTTTTTGGTGGGATTATGTTTTCCCAGTTCTCACTACGATTTAACTATTTAAGATAAGATTTATATTATCTTAAATGGTGGTTCCCACCAAATACGGTACCCAATTTTGTAACTAACGTCAATAGGTACCATGGTCCATGTTCTGAGTTAATCATAGAAGTAAAGTATAGTAAGTTGTAATCAAAATCAATAATCAATATTCTGTGATAATAGTTTATTCTTTTTATACCTATACTTATACTAAAAGCTAATAAGTCTTAATAGTTCATTCTGTATTTCTGTTCATCTGTTATTCATCTATTATATTAATGAGTTTCATTACTTATACTAGCTTTACTAAATAACTCTTATGATAACATCTCTTGCTGCATGTATTAATTTAAGCTATATTTTATTTTAAATTTTAAGTCTATAAATTTTATAGACTTAAAATTTATAGTATAAAATAACAAAGTTACTTATGTTATGCCTTATATGACCAAATATAACTAATAATTTTTAAGTATAATTTGAATTAATAATTTATAATAAAATTTTCTCATTTGCTATAACTGACTAATTGCACACTTATGTCCAATAGTGACTCGCTCATTAGCTTATGCATGATAATTTCATCATTTTCTTATACTTTGTTTTTTCAACTTAGGTTAAAAACTTGGTTGCCTTCGAGTATGGGACAAGATCGCTTAGTTGGATTGGCTTTACTAAATATTCATAGACACAGGGACATTCAAATAAATGATATGTCATTGATATGTTTACTGCCATGAAAAAAAGAATTATAGACCTTATATTATAATTTTTTTGACTACCTATGACTATAGACTATATTATATTCAAATTTAAACCTTTTGAGCAATAAATAAGGTGCCTTTATTGTGTTGAATTTATTTTGGATTAGAACTAAACAAGTTTGAACCTGCAGTGTCTAAAACCCTAATGAAATAAAAAAAAATTAATTATTGTATTCAAATTTCCTTATATTTTAACAGCTGAGAGATTTTCGTATTTTGCCCCCCCCCCCACCCCCTGAAAAATTATCTCACCCAAAAAAACTATCCTTGTGGAGACTCACAATTTAACAGTAAACACATATTTTTATTATGTTAGGTATCTACTTTAAACATAATATCATTGGATTTATTAAAATTGTTTTCTTTCTTCAATCCACCTTGGTATACTATTTGTGTTATCGTATTCTGGTGGTCGGTGTATACAAGTCAAGGTCAAGTCGGTGGAGCTCACAGGCTTTGATACACGCAACGGCAAGCTGAATGCCGAGGATTTATGTGGGGAGAGAGAGAGAGAAAAAAATAAATAAGTTAATGAAAATAAATAATAAGAGCAATATTAGGGTAATCACGTGGATGTATTTTACAGGTTTTTGATTGTAGATAATTGAAATAAGGTTTTGACATTTTTCAGTTTAACAAAAATAAAATATATAGCATGGCACATGGCAAGTAGGTATAAAATATAAAAGGGCACATGGGAAACAAAAAAAACAACGCTCGGCCCACGGGGATCGACACATCACATTACTCGTGGTGGTCTCCACAGGGTTACCGGGGCAGTTTAAATGATTTGGGGGGGAAATGAAAGGTCGAACGTCTGTAAGTGTGGTCCGGGGCCCCCTACTTAAACGCGCACAGGGACAGCTGGTTTTTTACGCCAGCTGTATGTGAACGCGTAGGAGACTACCCGCTAGGCCCCAATGGCAACCACACTCGGCCGACCAAGCCCGGACTCTCACTGGGACGGAGCGTCACCACAACACCGGTTAAATTAAAAGAAGAGTGTCTCAGACTCTTTGCCGGACAGAGAGTAGTATCAGTACTCCCTGTACGACGGGGGCCCTACCGAGCTGGGGGGACAGCGAATTCGAAAGAAGGTATAAGAGAGACAGAAAAAGGCGGGGTGTTAAGGGGAAAAAAGGGGGGGACAACGTGGAAGTAAACGAATTAAATGACCCGGGCCTACGAATATTATTCGTACAACTGTGTTGCACAGTTGTGCTGAGCGGAGGCTCGCGCACGGTGGTGACACCGTGTTAGGCAGAATACACCACATGCTAACCCCCCATTTGCTATTGAGTCCCGGGGGACAATTCGTGTCACCTGATAGGGATACGAATAGCATTGATTTGATTCGAGAGAGAAAGAAAAAAAAATAGATTAAGTTATTGTATTATTAAACTGAAGTTGACTTTTGATATTAAATTTGAACAGAAATTGTACTTTAAATTTGTTGTAAGAGAAATAATTTTGTTGAAGGTGATCACACCTGAGGACGCTACATGGTAGGTGGTACATAAGGTTTAAGGTGTACAATATTGTGGGTACCTTTGGGTGTATCATCATCAGGGTGTACAAGTTCATATGCGTTAATAGTTTTGACGTTTTTTATTTTGAAAGGGCCATTGTAGAGGAGAAAGAATTTTGATATTTTTTTGTCTATTTGATTACTGAGCATATGCGTACGGACTAGTACGAGATCGCCTATCTTGAAATGAGTGGGGTTTAATTTTGACATTTGACTTTTTTGACGGGATTCTGCTTTTGTTAGTTGAACTTCTAGGGCTAGGGTTAACTGTTTATTGTACTCGAGAGGGGGATCGCTGTGGGGGAATTGTATGAATTGCATTAACGGGTTGTGTTTTGAATTTTTTAAGAAAAGTGTAGAGGGAGAATGGTGGGTGGACTCATGACGTACGTTGTTGAGTGTCCATTCGATATATGGAACATACTGGGGCCACATCGAGTGTTTTTGGTGACAATATGTCCGGAACATCCTACCTAGCTCTCTCATGACTCTTTCAGCGGGGTTTGATTGTGGATGATAAACACTAGTGTGGGAAACTTGAATATTGAATTTTTTGAGGGAGGTCTGCCAATACTTGCTGATAAATTGTCGACCGTGGTCGGAAACAATATTTTGCGGAACTCCAAATTTTGGGAAATAATCAGTTGTTAATTTTTTGATACAGATCTTAGCATTGGCTCGCCGGAGAGGGTATAGTTTAACAAAACGGGAAAAATTATCTACTATTACGAAAATATAGGCAAATTGAAATATGCCTACAGGGAGAGGACCATAGAAATCAACTAACAGTTTCTCAAGGGGTTTGTGGGAGAGAATGGGTTGCATAGGACCAGCTATACGGGTAGTCTTCGGTTTGCACTTCTGACATAACTCGCATGTTTGCACTATACAACGGACAGTTTTATAAAATGAGGGGAAATAGCATATGTTTCGGAGGGAGTGAGCTGTTTTGAGGGGACCAGTGTGTGCATAATATTCATGAAATAATTTAATAATTGGGATTACCAGGTGGTCAGGTAGATATAAGGACCAGTGCGTGTCATACTTGAACTTGCGGATGAATAATATATTGTCCTTGATAGTATAATAATGATGCCATATTGGTGGGGGGTCAGATTTTAATGAGGAGATAATTTTAACTAATTTGGTGTCTTTTTGTTGTTCGAATGAGATATTTTGAAAGAGAGGAATTATGTCGGGGGGAATGGGAGGTGGCAGAGTATAATGGAGAATGACAGGGGAGTCCTTAGGGGGTTGGTCATCTCGACCGAGGGGGTGACGAGAGAGGGTATCGATAGGGTTATCTTTACCGGGGCAATGATGAATTTGGAGGTCGAACTCTTGAAGGGCAAGAGTCCAACGGGTCAGACGATTATTTTTTAATTTACAGGAGAATAAGAATGTTAATGCTTTATGGTCGGTGAATATTTTAATGGGATGTCCTAGGATATAGATCTTGAATTTTTGGCAAGCAAAGAGAATCCCCAACAGCTCCAGCTCGGTCACCGTGTAGTTCCTTTCGGCCCCACAAAGTGACCTACTGGCAAATGAAAGGGTGTTTCTTTGGCCGTCGCTGTCAATTTGGAATAATTCGGCCCCGAGTCCGATATAGGAAGCGTCGGTTTGAATACAGAAAGGGGTATTAAAATTTGGGTGAGTGAGAGATATTTGAAGGGAGAAAGCAGTTTTAATTTTTTGAAAGTCGATCTTATTTTGTTCTGTGAATGTCCAGGGAGTGTCTTTGCAAATTAAATGAGAGAGGGGGTGTAAGAGAGAAGAATGATTTTGTGAGAATTTACGATAGAAGTTACAGAAGCCGAAAAATGATTGGAGGTCCTTTTTATTACGAGGTTCGGGAAAATTTTGGAGGGCTTTAACTTTGTCAGGGTCCATTATCATACCTTTGGGGGATATGAAATGTCCGAGGAATTTAATTTTTTTTTTATTGAAATGGCATTTTTTAAATTTAAGTGTGAGACCTGCTTGGGCAATTTTGTGAAAAATCCACTCAAGGGTGTTGAGATGATCTTCAAATGAAGGGGATGAGAGGAGAATGTCATCAACATAAGTATGAATGTCATTTGGGGATGGACAGGGTATTGAATAATTATTTAAGGCGGCTTCAAGTCCTTTGCCGAAAGCAGCATTAGAAATGTTCAGACCAAACGGGACAACGCAGAACTGGTACGACCGACCATCATACAAAAAACTGGTGTACTGTCGTACAGAGGGGTCAAGGGGAATCTGCCAATAACCAGAAGAGAAATGAGGGAGGAGAAAAAAGATTTATTATTAAATTTGGCTAGGATATCATCAATGGGTGGAGAAGCGTCTCGAGTGGGGAGGATAATTGTATTTAATTTACGGGCATCTAAACATAAGCGTATCGAGCCGTCTGTCTTGATGACAGTGACCAAAGGATTATTGTATGGTGAGTCTGACCGTTCGATCACCCCCCATTGAATCATTTTATCAATCTCTTGTTGTACAGCCGGGCGTCGAGAGAAAGGGACAGGATACGGTTTGATTTTGTAGGGATCATGGGGTTTGACATTAAATTTATAAGAAAAGAATTTATGAAGGCCAGGTTTGTCTTGAAATATGTCTTGGAAATTTTGTAAGAGAGAGGTCATTAAATTTTGTTGAGAAATATTAAGGGGAAAGTCATTGAGAGCGATATTTTTTTCTGTTTCGAAAGGGAGAGGGTTGTATTTTGAGCTTGAGGGGGATTCGGAGAGTAGAGGGAGATCTTCTGAGATATTGATATTTTTGAGTGAATTTACCAGGCTATTGGGGTCATGATCTGCAATTAATTTAAAAGGTATTTTATTTTTGAGTGAGGGGAGAGAGATTTCCTTAGTACTATAATCTATGGTCACCCCATTTTCCACCAACCAATCGGTTCCCAAAATAAGAGGAGTAGAGAGATGGGGGACAACAAGAAAAATACCAAAGGTTTCATAGTTTTGAATTGAAAAGTTTAAATAGATTTGAGATTTTAATTTTATTGATTTATTATTTAGTGCTGTTGTGAGGAGTATGCCGTTAAGAGGAAAGAGGGGGATTTTATTTTGTGAAGGGTCAGAGATTAAATTTTGATACAGTTCTTCGGAGACTGCAGATACTGAGGCACCGGAGTCTAAAAGAGCATTATAGTGAATTTTGAAAAGTTTTAAGGGGATTTCTGGACGATAATTTGGAGGGGGAACGATTTCCTGATCTATATTTAAGGGGTGTGTGAGTATCGAAATTTGAGGACTATTGTTAGTGGACACAGGACACGTCCTCATGGGTCTGGTCAACGCTAGTTTCCCGAAGGGGAAGTGGCCTGGTCTGGTGATGGGGGTGATGATTGATTTTGAGTGTTATCCGTTTGAGGTCTATTGTAACTATTGAAACGAGGGGAGTAATTGTTTTGACGGGGAGGGTATCTATTTTGATTATTGTGGCCAAAGGAGTTCTGTTGTGAATTTTGATTTTGATGAGAGGAGGCAGTTTGACTATTCTGGGTATTTTGAGGCGAATGGGCCTGTTGAAGGTGGGAGAGCTGTTGGATGAGTTCATTAGTTGTGACGATACGGAGACCTCGGAGGGCGACGGAAATGTTAAATGAAAAGTGGGATATAATTTGGTCAACCATTTCGGCTTGATCGATCGGGGGTCTCAGGAAACGGGCTCGGTTAATCCAATCCATAGCATGCTTTTGGAGGGATGAATTGTCCCTATGAAAATATGGCCGGTATAATTCATTCCTAATGGCACGTTGCTGGTTGGTAGACCAGAAATGGTTTCTAAACAATAATAGAAACTCACTATACACCGATGGTGGGGGGAGTAACGTGTGATGCCATAGCTGAGCATCATCTACAAACTTCGCCTTTACATAGTTGATCTTGAACTGGTCGGGGACGGGGGGTTGTGTCAAAAAATATTGTTCGGCTTGTTCTAGGAACTCTTCGGGGTGAATGGGTGTTAACTGTCCGTTGTAAGTGGGCAACTTGGTTGAATCCAAATTGATACCAGAGATATTGGAGAGGGAGTGAGTACCATGAACAGAGACAGAGGGGGGGTTTGAAAATGTACATTGGTGTTGAGGTGCCGAATAGACTGAAGTGTGATACGGGGCAGCCGGTTGTATGGGAAGTGAATTTGTAATTGTAGTTGAGGTGAACAGATTATTAAATGAATTTTGTGTAAAAGGCTGAGAATTATTAAAAGAGTGTTGTAAGAGGGGCTGACTATCTTTACTTGAAATTTGAGGCATAGCGGAAATATTATTATTGAAAGTTTGTGCAGGGGGTTGGTAGCTGATATTGGCTGGGGCTTGAGAACAGGCTAGGGGGTACGAGGTTGTAGAAAGAGGTTTAGAGACAGAGATAGGGTTCCGGACAACATTTTCCAGGGCAGCTAGACGGGCAGATTGACCTTCGACCATGCTTACTCTACTAGTGAGGGTTTTGACATTGTCTTGGATTTGGTGATATGTGAGGGTGTTGGTTTTCTGGGTTTCCTGACAGCATAGTTGTTGATGAGAGAGATCGTTCTGAATATTTATAAAATCACGGTTGATATTCGCCTGAAGTTGCTGGAAATTTGTCCTAATCTCAGTATCACCGTCATCCACACGGGTACACAACTCCTCAATACGGGTATCAAAAGCAACTAACCTCTTGGACATAGCGTCAAACTGGAGGGCAAAGTTGTCAAACATATCTCTGAGCCTATTGTCTAAGGAGTCAAGAGTAGGGGGGACCTTTGAGTCACGAGACATCACCTTCCCCGTCGACGGACATGGTTAAATCGAAATCGGTGGGGGGTAAGAGGGGAGAGGAATAATTTGCTGAAGGGTTATACCAGTCAGGTTGTCGGGTGGTTCGCTTGCCTGCACTTTGCATTAGGGGAAAATGAAATAAGTTTTATATAATAAGTTTTAAGTAACAGCAGTTTATATAACAGAATAATATTTAAATGATAATTAGGGGAAAATTACAATTAATAGATTAAACTTGTTTCTGAACAACAGAGTAAATACACAGGTCCAAGCAATAATACCATACGGTGAATTTATCCCATATGCTCAGCACCAATTATAATCAATTGAGAAAAACACTATAGTAATAATTAACTATGAAACTTCAATAAAATGTAATAATTGTAAGATATTAACAGTAATAAATAAGTAATGTCCGCAGACGAATAGATATAACCGGTCTTAATAGGTTTAGTTTAGACTAAATAATTAGAAAATAATGATAATTAAGGTAATGAATAATATGATATGGGCCTTAGGTGGACTAAACTGACCAGGTCAAAGTTTCCTACACCAGCATCTCAAACAGTCAGTCGTGTAAAGTAATTTAATGATCAGAGGGAAAACCTACCTAACATTGGGTATTTTGTTCTTTTAAAGGGGACGTTATAATAATAAATATTTCCTATTAAATTGATTGCACAATGTGGAGAAAGAAAATGTATATTATTTATTAATTCCGTGCAAGAGAACGTTTATTTAATTTGATTTTATAATTTTAATAAATGATTTTTTATAATATATTAAGCTTTTAAGTTGGGGAATTTAAACAGATAAGAATAGTAATCCTAACACATTAATGTAATAATAAGAATGAGAATAATAATTGGGTTTTTTTCCTAGCCTTTTAAATTTAATAATATAAGAATAATAATAATTGTTCCTACCAAGGGAAACATGCTCATCAAGAACATAATTTTATAATTTATAATAACATAATACATAATATAATAATATAATAACAATCCGCAGATTTGACATTAACAATCCTAACATTTTGGACCATGTGGTCTGGGAAAAAAAACTTAAGTTATCGCAGCAAAATACAAAAATGATCCTAGCAATGTTATACAAGGGTGGATGTACGGGTCTAGGGAAAACTAACAAGGGGGGAGAATAAGGGGAAAATATAATAATGCAAACCAAAGGGAAATAGACGGGTCATTCGCAGTGTCCGAGCCTCGATGCCGCAGCCGATCGCCAAGCCGTCACCGTCGAACGCCACCACCTGCCTCCCACGATGCATACACCGACAGGAACAATTTCTGAAATAAATTACTGGATAACAAATGTGTACATGGGGGGGGGAAAAAAATTATAATAGTTGATTGAATTTACCTTGGTAGTGAATAATACATTGTGACTTTAATATGTTACATTGTTTTTTTTTTTTGTACCAAGAGAGAGAATAATTAAACTGATAGATGACATTAGTTAAAGAAGTATAATAAAGATTGTCTCGTGCACAAGATAAAAATGTCAGATGGAATAATAATAAAATAGGTAGAGATTTGGGGAGTTGCAATAAGAGGAAATTTAGAAAATGAATAATAAATGTTTTTTTCTTACAGGAAAATAATAATTTTTACGGATGGTAAGGGGATAATAATTTGCCATGTGCTTGCCAAGAAAAGAATATTTGAGACCTAACAGTTTCTTGCCATGTCAAAGAGGTAATTTTGCACTATTTTGCAGAAAGGATTTTAAGTTTGAGAGTATATAAAAAAAAAATATATTATAAGTAAAAAGGGGGACTTTTGGACATTTCGTCCTGTCACGGTCGCCATATGTGAGAGTTAGTGACTTTTTAAGGCCACCAAAACCACCCATGACGAAAGGGGAACACTTTCCTCATGACCTGTGAGCCGCACCGCGTGAGACCCGAGGGTCAAGTCGGTGGAGCTCACAGGCTTTGATACACGCAACGGCAAGCTGAATGCCGAGGATTTATGTGGGGAGAGAGAGAGAGAGAAAAAAAATAAATAAGTTAATGAAAATAAATAATAAGAGCAATATTAGGGTAATCACGTGGATGTATTTTACAGGTTTTTTGATTGTAGATAATTTAAATAAGGTTTTGACATTTTTCAGTTTAACAAAAATAAAATATATAGCATGGCACATGGCAAGTAGGTATAAAATATAAAAGGGCACATGGGAAACAAAAAAAACAACGCTCGGCCCACGGGGATCGACACATCACATTACTCGTGGTGGTCTCCACAGGGTTACCGGGGCAGTTTAAATGATTTGGGGGGGAAATGAAAGGTCGAACGTCTGTAAGTGTGGTCCGGGGCCCCCTACTTAAACGCGCACAGGGACAGCTGGTTTTTTACGCCAGCTGTATGTGAACGCGTAGGAGGTTACCCGCTAGGCCCCAATGGCAACCACACCTGGACGTTCTGAAACGCACATTTCACAAGGATCGTGCTTTTAAGTGACAAAAAAATAAAAAAGAAGGGGGGAAAATTTGGAGGTATTACTCTGACGACGTTGAGCTTGAGATGTGTTGTTGACCGAGGAACTGGATGGGCTGGTTAATACCACCGGCACACACGCGGCCGGCATGGCCCATCTTGTCGTCGATCAAACCGCCTCGGATGGTGACGGCGGCACGGAGGTTGACTGGCAGCTTTGCCCACCATCGGGCCCGTGAGCGGTACTTAGCCCATCATGGCGGTTGGTTCCCGTCGATTAAAACAATAAGATGAGATTCACACGCGAAGTGATGGTGGTCGACACGCGGTTGTGGTCGTCGTAGAAAACTCGGGATGCGTCACGGTACCGAAAGTCGAAACGTCTGGTTCGTTCAGCGGTCTCGGAAAATGTGTGTAAAGACGGCTGATGTTGTCTTGCCGCTGGTCGTGGCCGTTGATGTTGACGTGGTGGGGAAGGTCAGTGTCGCATTATAGGGACGTTTACAATAATAATTGGGAAAAACAGACTGCTTTGTCGGTGCGTATCGACGGACGCGACAGCTGCGACCGGCGGTGACGACCGGCAACGGCAGCGGCCTGTTGGCGGGCGGACACTGCGGGTTGTGGGGGCCGGGGGTCAGGTGTATGTAACATTGTGGTCATTTATGCATTGGCGCGCGATAAATATAATAATATCATAATGTAATCATAAGAAATAATAATAATGAAAAATAATATGCTCAGGGGAACTATAATAATATTAAGTAAGGCCTAAAATTCTGGGACGTTACAAAGTTTATATTATATTTCTTCAGATGTTCATATTAAATATTTCCATAATATTAAAAATGGCCTCAATATAGTTTATAGAAACGATTAAAAATAAATATATTCAAAATAGCAGAGATGAATAATATTATACTTTTTAAAAGTTCAAAACTAATGCGTTATTATAATTATTTATAATGTACAAACATCACAAATTTTAATGTTTAATTATAATTTTTGTTTAAAATAAACTGAATTATACCCTAACTCTATTATTGATTCAATTGTTTTTTGT